CCATGTAATACCAAATTTCATATCACAAATGAAAAAGCCCATAAAAGAGCTTTCCTACTTGCCTGAGGTCAACAGTTACTAATGGCAGAGCCATGACTAGACCCTAGACCTCCAGATGCCTAGCCTGCTGTTGAGTTAGTTCATTACACACTTCATGAGCTCAAGTTGCAATGAATGTCAGCCTTCAACAACTCACTGGTAAAATTTTTCTCGAATGCAACATCAGTAAGTCTCTGTTGGATACAGGAAAGGAATGAGAATACTCACTTGAAATCCCTAGACAACAATTTTCTACAGTGACCACAGAAAAGAGCTGCCTGGAAACCTTGCCTTAGTTGACTGAAATTTTTTCAAACATTTTCTCTAGTTGGGTTCAGTTTAAGAGGAACCCCTGGGGAAATTCTACCTCTTTGGAGATCCATTAACTTTAAAGAGATTTCATAAAGGATACTAAATAATCTGACTAAACTCAGCAAGACTGGACTCTGAGTAAATCTATCAGAATGCATTTTCTATCATTGAGAAGATACAGGACTTCTCACTCAGGACTCAAAGTGTGATTATTCCATAGTATCACTCTTCCAAAGGAGGTCCCTCTCACCCTACTCCATCCTTAACCCAAATTTCTAAGATGTGATTCTTCTTCTGAATATCAGCATACAAAGGAAACTTCCCCATTGTCATCTGAATACTATGAGGGTATCATATACTGTCTGCTTGTCATTTCCAGGAAATGCTGCACAACATGAAACTCATGGACCCTCACTCCATCATTCCCTGCAAGAAGATAGAATCTCTCCAGGAGAGCTCCTCTCATCATCTATTGCAGGAATTCTTAGCATCTCAGCAAAATGTTAACCAGCTCATAAGTGAATTTGCTTAGGTGGCTGATGGAATGAAGCAAATTTCAAAGTGGTAAGGAAACACCTTAAAATACCTTTTTATTAGTATGATTTTGACTTTTTTTCTAAAAATAATAAAAACACAAATTTTATAATGCTTTGTAACTGGTTTATATACATCAATATTGAATTTTTGTGGACAACAAATGAATTATCAGAGTAAGGGTTACTATCCACTTTTAAAGATACAGGAAAGGGAACTCTGAGAAATGGTTGAATTTCCCAGCATCGCATGCCTAATAAATGTAAAGCAAGGATGGAATTCAAGTCTTTTCCTTTTCTCTCAGTGTTCTTTCTGTAGGACAATCCTAAAGAACATGGCATGGAACTCTTTTTTTTCAAGCAACATCATTAAATCATAAGCAGCTTCCTGGTGTTATGTGAAAAAAAAAATGTATTCTATGGTGAAATGAAGCTGGGAATTTCTTCAGGTAAAAGTAGGCTGATTGCTTTCCATCAGGACTTCACAAAACATTGTGCTAATTGCATTGCTAATATCTGAGAAAAAGTGTGAATGTTTTCAGATTTGACACAGAAACTTTTATTTCTGGGGCATCATGAAAAATTTACATTCTAAGGAACACAATTTAGAAATGAGCTCCTCAGAGAATGTTTAAATTCTCTTATGCATTGTGTTCTCTTACAAAGCTGAAATTGGTAATCATGCCTCATAATTCTCTTAAATCCTTCCACATAGCTGAGCCCAAGACTTGAGTTCCTAACAGATACTCAATATTTGCCTGCTTGGATAATTTATTAATAAGGTACTGTGGCCATAGAGTCAAGATGAGGAGAGGGTTTTCTGGAAGTTCATAGAAGAAGCACCTATCACTGAGATGGCGAAAGATGAAGATCAGGGAAAGGTGGCACTTGAACTGAGCTCCGAAGGAAGAGTAGAAACATGGAAGAGAACAAGGTCCAAGGTGAAGGGGGTAGATGATGCAGAGTCCTTGAGCAAGAGAGATCATGGCAAGAAACTGAAAATTGGTTAATAAACATAGGGCTGTGAGTGCAATAAGGAGAATGATAAAAGAATACCTACTAGAAATCGGGCAGTGCACTTAATGAGCCTTACTATTAATCCTCACAATAACACTGTAGGGTAACTATATTAGACTCTCTTTCAATATAAACCTGAGATTCATGGAGATTCGTAATTTTGTCCATAGTTCTAAAACCGGTAAATGACAAATCCAGGACTCACATTCTTGTTGAGAGATCAAATGTCTCCTAAATGTGTGATTAACTAGGAATGGCCCAGTGGTGAGTGCCGTTAGAGAAAATAACCTGGGTAAGAAAAATATTGAGGAGTTATTAAATTATTCTACAAATGGCATTGTCTCCCTTACTTGTGTGCATAGCACTAGACTAAGCTTGGGCATGTGTTTCCGCTACGCAGCCAGAATCATACTAATGTGCCCTTTCTGCATAGCTGTCTGCATGCTTTTAACTAAGTTCGACGTAGATGAAAAGGATATATTGAAGGCACATCTATGTGCTCTGCTCTCTGCTAACTAACGCAATAGAATCTGAAATCTGGCCTCAGGTATGCCTATACATAGCCACATGCTTCTGGACAAGGCTTAATCTTGGTGAGCCTGAGTTTTTGCATGAAAGACATAAGGGGATAGAATTAAGTGTGACTTGAGTTCCCTTAAAGATAGACAGTTTCTATTTTATATATTTTTTCTAATTGAGCATGCATTTAACACATTTGACTGGGCTTTTCGATGGTTCCATGGCTCACTGACATTTTCAAAAGTGCTTCATTTTTATATGTAAATATTTATGTATTAGTAGCACACATAGATTACAAATTGCAATACTGCCCATCAGCCACTGAGAGATAACTGCTACCTACATGAGTTTCTCAATATTATCAAACATATCGGTTCAACAAGTATATCAATCGCTTAACTGCTGCACTTCCCACCGCCTGTTTATCAACTGAATCCATCCCACCTAGGTTCTTCTTTGTTGCATGTAGTAAACAAAAATATAAAGACTGGACTGAGAAAAGCCCCAATTTGTGTGGGGCTAAAGCAATTAAATAGCCTATCTGGGTTACAGAAGGAACCACTGAATATTGGCTTTGAAAGAAAGTTTAAAAGATATGAGATTTAACTTCAAATGAGTTCAAATATGATGAGGATACAGTGGTAAACAAGACAGATATCCTTGACTTTATAGAGCCCAAATATAACCCGGATTGAAATTTTTATCAAACAGGCATTGGCAGGAGTTCATTGTTTTAGGCATAAGCTGCCAGGGAAGCAATAAGGGCACCCAGAAATCAGTGAATTCTGTGAATGGTGAGGATGGCAAGGTTGAAAAGTTCTCTGATGACTTTGGGGAGGGTAACAGAATAATGAGAATAATAAATAGTGCTTATATATTTGCATGGACTTTTAGGTGATAAAATTTTGAATGCCTCATGACATACGATAAGGTGATGCAGATCCAGAAGACAAATTTATTTGCAGAGTTCTTTTATGATTTTTTAATTTGACAAATGCAAAATAGTATACAGATTCCTCAAAATATTAAAATACAACTACCATATGATCCAGCAATTCCACTACTGGGTATATATCCAAAGGAAATGAAACCAGAATTCCAAAAGATATCTGTACTCCTGTGTTCATTGCAGCATTATTCACAGTATCCAAGAAATGGAATTAACCCCTGGGTCCATCAACAGATGAATAGATAAAGAAAATGTAGTATATATGCACAGAGATCCGAAATGAAATAAAGAATGGGTCCAGGAAATATTTCTATTAAGAACTTTCAGGTGCCACCAACCCCTCACCCATTCGCCAGATAAAAATGTTGAAATAAATAAAAATGTCATATATTCCATTCATGCCAGTGGACAGGTTACTTCAAGATGAATGGCCAAGAGAGTTGAAATTGCATGACAGAATCAATTAATTCTAGTTAAATACTTCAATAAGATGGATATGTATACAAAGACTGTATCACACATCTGGAATGATTAACCTAAAAATAATGATAATACTTATTATTACATCTCATGAAAAGCTGGAAGGAAATGTGTGTTTCTACCACACAATAACATTAGCTTCTCACCAATTTCTATTTTGATCATACTCCAGACTGGAGAATATAATTACCCAGTTACTTCACTGTATTTCATCTCACTGCATACCAAATGTCCTGCTATTAAGAAAAAAAGCAAATGTGTCATCCAAGTGTGAATATATGTCACAACTGATAATATTCAAGAAAATATATACAGCCTTTGAAAATAATTCCCAAAGGAGCTCCAGAAATGGTTTGAATAAGGTAAAATTATTAAAGTCCCAAGCCTTTGAAAGTGACCACTGGAAAGGAAAACACTAATTTATAAGTATAAATTCTTATGTGTTTGGTTTTTAATAGATTATAGCCTCACACTGAACATGTGTGCTGATTTTTCCTTGCAGTCACTCCACTGTGATATTTTAGTAGACATTGAGCTCTACCAATGCTACATGTTTTGCTTTATCAACGGCTTATGTTTTGCACCAAATATTGGCTGCTCCCATTTCGGTACAATATTGATCATTTGATGTTCATGTTTTAGTAAGATAGAATCATTTTTAAATGCCTTTCTGGATTAAAAACTATATTATTTGGTTTCGGGTTTTTTTGTTGTTGTTGTTTGGTTTGTTTGTTTTTTAGAGGGAGTCTCACTCTATTGCCAGGCTAAGTGCAGTGGTGCGATCTTGGCTCACTGCAACCTGAGCCTCCCGGGTTCAAGCGATTCCCCTGCCTCAGCTTCGCAAGTAGCTAGGACTACAGGCACCACCATGCCCAGCTAATTTTTTGTATTTTAGTAGAGATGGGGTTTCACCATGTTGACCAGGCTGGTCTCCATCTCCTGACCTCCTGATCTGCCCACCTCAGCCTCCCAACGTGCTGGGATTACAGGCGTGAGCCACCACGCCGGCCTCTTATTTGGTTTTGACAATATATAATTACAACTTTTCTACTGAAATCTCACTTCCATTTTGTTCTTCTTTCTTTTCTATCTTACTCTTCTTCTTATTTAAGCTCTAGCAGAGCAACTGTGAGATCAGGAGGAGCCTCACTCTCCACTCTGGAAAAGATAAGAACTGAAGAGTAAATAAATACCCAAGAGAAACACATCACTACAAGAAAAGAGGCAGAAGTGCAGGTACATTCATTGAAACTATGTCTCAGAAATATTACATATTTGAAACATTTAATCTTCATAAATTTTTTTATAAGGATCGATATTCATATCCTCAATTATACATTAGGGAACCAAGGCTCATCAAGTAATGTGGTCAATGCAAAAATTAGTAAGTGAAGAAACTGGGTTTCACACCCATATCTAACTACAAAATCCATGTGACTGACACTACCATCCTTCCTTCCTGACACTAGTTCAGATACCAAAGGATAAAAGTAGAGTTTTAATTTATTATATGATTGCAAAATTGTGTATGTTCATTATAAAATTTGTAAAAACAGAAAGCCATAAGCAAAAAGATCCACTATCCCACCCACCTAGCAATACCCATTGTTAATATTTTGAAGTATGTTCTATTTTTTATGAATAGATATAATTATGTTTTTAATTAAATCATGATATAATGCTGTTTTATAATCTGCTTTTTTCCCAATCTGTTTTATTGTTCCACAATGTCATTTTTAAACAATTACACACTGTTCCACAAAATTAATAGACTATAATTAATTTAAGCATTCTCCCATTATTGATATTTAGGTTGATATGATTTTTTACCATTATAATGAAAATAGTGACAAACATTCTTGTCAATAATTTTACGCTCATGTTTAGTTTTTAAGAATAAATTTGTAAAAGCAATATTGCTGAATCAAAGTGTATGCATTTCTTCAAGTTTTCACTATGTTACCGAATTGTATTTCACAAATTTTTATAGCAGTTTATACTTTCACCAGCATATTTGGGAATACATCTCTCCTTGCAACTTTAACAAGACAAGGAATTATCATTTTTTCCATTGCTATTATTTAATAAACAGAAAACAGTATTCCATTTTGTTTAATTTTATATTTATTTGAATACTACCAAAACTTAATTTGTAAATTTGTTTGCTTTTGCATGTTTCTTTTTTGAATTTCCATTATTCGTTTTTCGGATAGGTTTTTTTATCTATCCGATAAAATGAATTGTCACTTGCTATTCAATTTGCTTATTATGTTTTTGCCTACAAAACTTTAACATTTTTATTCTGTTGAAATATCAACATCTTTTTTGGACTCTGCCCTTTCCTCATTTGGTTATAAATGTTTATCTACCCTGAAATCTGAAAAAAGTTCATCTGCACTCTCTTCTAGTTTTCTTTTACTTTTTAAAATATTTGAAACCCAAGCCCATTAGAAATAAATTTTGAAACTTTTTTTTTTTTTGAGACAAAGTCTTGCTCTGTTGCCAGGCTGGAGTGCAGTGGCTAGATCTCGGCTCACTGCAACCTCTGCCTCCCAGGTTCAAGTGATTCTCCTGCCTCAGTCTCCCAAGTAGCTGGGATTACAGGTGTGTGCCACCACACCCAGCTAATTTTTGTATTTTTAGTAAAGACAGGGTTTCACAATGTTGGTCTCAATGGTCTTGATCACTTGACCTTGTGATCTGCCCGCCTCAGCCTCCCAAAGTGCTGGGATTACAGGCATGAGCCACCGCGTCCGGCAAAACATTTATTCTTCATAAATTTTCTGTGAGGATCCATAATGTCTATGCATTAGGGAGTTAACATCCAAAATGATTCCCTCATTGTCCTAATGCCATATTAGGAAACTGATCCTTTCTAATTGATTTGAAATAGTAAAAATATTTAATATACTTCCCATCGAATGAGTACTCTGTCCTGGGACTGTTCTAAGTACTTTCACAGAATAATTTGTTCAAGTCTCACAACAACCTGAGAAGGTAGATAAGTGTATTTTCAGTTCTATTTTACAGATAATGAAACTCATGCACATAGTAGATAGCGACAATATATAATAATAAAGTGATGAAGGCAAGAGACCCTGGAGTCAGTCTGCTTATGTTTAAATTCCCATTCCAACACCTACTATCTGTGTGATCTTGGGCAAGGTAGTTAACCTCTCTGTGCATCAACTTCTTCATCTGTAAAATAGTTATAAAAGCCCTTTTATAGAGGGCCATTATGAAATGGGTTAACAAATGTAAAGTGCATAGAATGATGTCTGACACAGGAAGTGCAATAGAACAGCTAGCCATTATTAGTGAGTTTTCCTATTCAATTATTCAGGATCTCTAGTGCTCTACAAGTACCATTTTGATTTATGATATGATAATATATATTTTATAATTTAATTCTTGGTTACACATCTTAATGTCATGTGATACAAGTTTCGCTCTGTTGTTTCACCCTTTTCAACTGTTTTTGTATGTTTACTTTTTGCTTTTCTAGGGATTTTGATAGGATTTGCATGGAATCCATACATTATTTCAGAGTCAATTAACGTCAAAATATTGAGTTTTTCCACCCAGGCATGTATGTGCAAAATGTAGTAGTTTTCTTCAAATCATTACTTGTTTTTTATTGTTTCATCACTGGTGTGTTATTTACCATTTATTCATCATTAATTTTGGTTGTTTTGGGAGAGAAGGACATTTTCTAACAGTACCATTGATTTTAAAAAACAAAGGAAGAATACCCTGTGATTCAAATCCTAAATGACATAATTACCTTAATGATTTTACTTTGACTTAAATCATACAAATGGACATTTATGCATCAACCTTTTGATATAGAGTCAAGAGTCTTACACTGAGTTTGTATTACCTGAAGTCAAAAGCTTTCTTGTCTGGATCATGTATTAATTCCAGTTTTAGCTTTTTTAACAAAGTGAAAATTAGACTCATATCAAATATGAATGTAAAATTATTCAAAATGTTATTACTTTCCCTCCTAGCCTATTATAATGGTCTGGCTCACACCTTATTCCACAGCATCTATTAGCAACTTGTAATTATCAAATATTTCTCAAGCATTTAATTATTAATTTTCATTAAATATATTCACAATAACACTTTATTTGATTTTATAATATTTAATAAAATTACATAAGTACAAAAATAAATGCACATGATAGAACCAGGGTGTGCAAAATTCAACCAATTTATGTACATGCAAGTCAGTTTTGGGGTGTAGGAATGTTTATATATTGTGGAGAGCAAGCTCAGATCTCCTATGTTCAGAGTGTCAGGTTTAGCATACAGTATGTTGTACAGAGAAAATGAGGAATATTGACTCATCAGATACATCAGTTAAGTGAAGATTAGTTAAAAGACTCTCTATTATATTTCATTTGGAACTAAACACCATGAAGACTATTTTGTTGGTCATAACTTCTTCAATTTATTCTGTTGTGTTTTCAGTTAGACAATCAAAGCTGCATCTTTTTAAATTTTATTGCATTGGTTAAGTTCTAAAATACAGTGCTAAACAAAAGTGATGCTAGCCTTTCTATGTCACTATATTTATACGTGATTGAATTTTTTTCATTTGTGAATATGAGACTGTCTCTAGTAGAACGTAAACCCCATTTAGATTTATTTGCATAAATATTTGCTTTTCTTGGTTTACTTTAACCTATTTTATCTTGTAAGCTTGCTCACATTTTTGTTTCTTTTGTTCTCTATACTATATTTACTTTTTAAAAATCTTCTGATCATTTGGAGTGGATATGCTGTTTTTTATTCTATTGATGATTATTATTCAGAAATATGTTTGAAATGTGCGTTTGGATATATTTGGCTGTGACTAATTTCTCTAGTCACATCTAAATAAAATATTTATTGAGTCTTTTTGCACATAGGTTTAAGAAATTAGCATATTTTCCTTTCTCCCATCCCTCCCTATCAGTTTTTCTATCATATAAATTGTGGTTTTAAATATAAATAATTATTTTAGTTTTTGCATTTTATATTATGCACATCTTAAAAAATTATTCTTAGCAATTTTTTGCTTTTAACAATATTTTCACTATTTAATATTAAATACATATTTTATTATTTGCTTTTCCAAAGCATATTATTTTACATTACAATTTTCTCAACCTTAAAGTATATGTTCTGATTAATCTGATTAATCATGCAGCAACTCATAATCTTTCTTGAGGGATTTTTAAAATTATATTTAGAATGAAATAATTCCTAAGCCCTTCCAAACCTGAGGAAGTCTTTCTGTTGCTTTTGAACATAAATCATTAAGGCTTTGGTGTAGAATTATTTCACCCCAATTTGTTTTTCTTAAAATTCTGTAGATATTTTGTGTGGTCTCTTAAATGTTTGTATTAAAAATAAAGTTGTAATCTAACCTGAAAGTGCTTAATTCACAGGTATTTTTAACTTCCCAGATGCTTGCAAAGCTCTTTCTTATTCTTTTGATTATGTTAATGCATAATTCAATTGTGCTATTGCATTTTTAGTTTCCTCATTGTCTTTTCTTATCTCAGGAAGCTCCACTTTAATTTTAACCTAACTCTGTTCACTTCCTTTTCATTTGACTCTATGAGTCCAAAAGTTTAGCTTCCTGTTGGAAATTTAGATAAAATGTTCAAAAGAGAGGAAATATATGAAGAGTGCATATCAGAAAAGATTGTAACAAAGGGTGTTTTCCTACTTGTATGCGGAGTCAAAATAACTGAACGTAAAGTGAATAACTTATAGTACAGCCATAAAGCAATGGGAAGAACACAAGATTGCTTCAGAACAAGAAGAATAACATTTGCAGACATAATGTTGAAGCCAGTTACAACAAAGTACATGCTTTATTATTTAATATATAAGTTGAAACATAGTTACATCAATCTGTAATGATTAAAGTCAAAAAGTGGTTACTTTTGTGAGGCATAAAGACTGAGAAGAGACATGAAGGATGTTTGTAGGTCACTGGAATTGTTGTATTTCTTAATCTTTATAGTGGCTGTACTGGTATATTTATGATGTTAAAAATAAATAAACAAATCAAGCTTCACAGTTAGGATTTGTGAATTCCTCCACATGTATGTTATATTTCAATGAGTGTGGTTACTGAAAAAAGTAAACAACAAATTTATTTAATTTTAAAATATGTGCAACCATACAAATCTTTGCTGTAATTAGATACAAGCAAAATAATTAAGTCTTGTCAATTGGATTGAAAATATCTGGGCGGGGGCAGATATTTCACAAGGAACATCTACATGTGTCTACATGTCTTGCCCCCAGGAACTTCTGCAGATGACTGTCTATCCCATTCATGAAGATTTCCAAGGTAAAGTATACCAAACCTTCTATCATGAATTCATTCCCATGCACCATGATTGGAAACTAGCTACTAAATAGATAATTCCAAATAAAATTGTACACTCCTGCTTTTACTCAAGCAATAAAGCAACTCAGCCAAGAAGAGCTCAGTGCATCCTGTCCTTTTGCACAAGACATGCTTGTGGGAAAACTTGTCTTCAACCAGTCTGACCGCACTGAGTTTGTGTTCCGTGTGTTCACTACAGCCACTGAATTCCAGGTTCTTCTCTTCCTTCTCTTCCTCCTCCTCTACTTGATGATCCTCTGTGGCAACACAGCCATCATCTGGGTGGTGTACACACGCAGCACCCTCCGCACCCCGATGTACTTCTTCCTGTCCAACCTATCTTTCCTGGAAATCTGCTATACCACCGTGGTAGTACCCTTGATGCTTTCCAACATTTTTGGGGCCCAGAAGACCATTTCGTTGGCTGGATGTGGGGCCCAAATGTTCTTCTTTGTCACCCTCGGCAGCACGGACTGTTTTCTCTTGGCGATCATGGCCTATGACCGCTATGTGGCCATCTGCCACCCGCTGCACTACACCCTCATCATGACCCGCAAGCTGTGCGCGCAGATGCTGGTCGGGGCCCTAGGCCTGGCCCTCTTCCTCTCCCTGCAGCTCACCGCCTTAATCTTCACCCTGCCCTTCTGCGGCCACCGCCAGGAAATCAACCACTTCCTCTGCGATGTGCCTCCCGTCCTGCGCCTGGCCTGCGCTGACATCCACGTGCACCAGGCTGTCCTCTATGTAGTGGGCATCCTCGTGCTGACCATCCCCTTCCTGCTCATCTGCGTCTCCTACGTGTTTATCACCTGCGCCATCCTGCGCATCCGTTCTGCGGAGGGCCGCCGCCGGGCCTTCTCCACCTGCTCCTCCCACCTCACTGTGGTCCTGCTGCAGTATGGCTGCTGCAGCCTCGTGTACCTGCGTCCTCGGTCCAGCACCTCAGAGGATGAGGACCGCCAAATCGCGTTGGTCTACACCTTTGTCACCCCCTTACTCAACCCTTTGATTTACACCCTTAGGAACAAGGATGTCAAAGATGCTCTGAGGAATGCCATTATCCGTAAAGCAGCCTCTGAGACCAACTGAAGGTTTAGGGGCACTGGGCTGGGTGTCTGTCTGTTGCTATATCGATGAACTCTAAATGACACAGAATTGTAGTACTTTCCCACACTTTGCACTTGATGTTTCTTTTTTGCCATATTTGCCCCAAGTTCAACAATTCGTGCTTATTTTTCTGAGTGCTTTGACTAAGATATGAAAATTTGGGCAGAACTTACAGTGTAGGAATGTTAGTTTACTTAGCTCTACTTTAAGGATTTGCAGCTCACCCATGTCAAGTGCCGTATTAGGAACACCCCATACGTACTATGAATAAAGGCTGATAGACTTGCTGCCTCCTGAGGAGATGATGTAATTTACCCTGTGAAAGTTGCCTTAAGTAAGGAATATTCATAAAGACATATTTTGCTCAAATAAACACAACTTATTATTGTTTTGGGTATCAGTATATGACAAACAACAGCTTACTTAATGCATTAATTTCCTTTGCGCCATACATCCCAACTGGGTGCTTTCATTTTCTTCATGCCAGAAAGGGGCTAGGAATTTTCTTCCATTGATAATCACCTACTATGTACCAGCCTTGCTAGGGTATGGAGAATTACATCTGGTCTATGGCAGCCCTGCCCGCATGAGCCCTCTGTACTGGTGGCTCTCACACTAGTCTTTGCTGTTCCACCTTCCTCACCACCTCCTACATCTTCATGAGGGCTGCTGCTCACAGATCCACTGAGCAGGTAGCACTACCATGGCACTATTCCTACCTCAGCATAGTTTTGCAGCAGAATGGCTGTTACCCAAATAAACCCTCAAATAAAATCCACTTCCCTTTATGGTATTCACAGTGGACACCACACTGCTCAACCTTCTCATTCACACCCTGAGGAAGAGCCAGGTCCAGAGGACTCCACGGATAGTTCTTATAAGCAATTACCTCTCCTATAACAGCTAGGGGAGGGTGCAATCTATCAAGTGAGAGTCTAGATCCAGATCATAAGCTGATTTTAATTAGCAGCTACAGGAAGAGAGTGAAAATATCTGCCAGTGGATATTAAACTGACCTAAGAAATTGTTATAACCTGGCGGGGCATGGTAGCTCACGCCTGTAATCCCAGCACTTTGGGAGGCCAAGGCAGGCAGATTACGAGGTCAGGAGTTCAAGACCATCCTGGCCAACATAGTGAAATCCTGTCTCTACTAAAAATACAAAAATTATCTGAGCATGGTGGCACCTGCCTATAATCCCAGCTAGTTGGGAAGCTGAGGCAGGAGAATCGCTTGAACCAGAGTCATATGTTGCAGTGAGCCAAGATTGCGCCACAGTACTCCAGCCTGGCAACAGAGCAAGACTCCAACTCAAAAAATAAAATAAAATAAAAAAGAAAAGAAAAAAGAAATTGTTATAATCTTTTTGAATCCTATATGGTTACGTTTACCAAAACCCATGAAGTTTCTATTCTTTAATTTCAGAATTCTTATTCTAAAAACATAACCTCACAAAATTAACAGAATGTCAAACAAAACAAAATATAAGGGTGTTTCTTACATTTATAACATGAAAAGTGATTAAAATCGAATTTCCAACAATGTTGGATACAGAAGCACAGCATACTAAAATCATTAATATTTAGTAATAAAGGGCAATGTTTATCATTATACCTGTAAGAAATAAAATCAAGATTCAAGCCTTATTTACAATAAGAGCCCAATTTTATAAAAATATATACATGCATAATGAGGAATAGAAACACACCAAAAAGTTAACAGTTGTTTTCTGTGATGTAGAATTATGAATTTTCTAGTTTTCCTCTTTATTATTTTCCCTGATTTCCGAAATAAGACTGTGTTCCTCTTATAATCAGAAATACAATTTCTAGCAGGAATCTGAGGTTTACGTAGATTTATTTGGCATATAAACCTCCCATCATCATAGCTCAGATCCACTTTTTATATTTTTTCTAGATTGGGACTATTTTGGTGTGGGGGGGTACATCTTTTTCCCGTTGAAATTGCTTTTAGAACTCCTAATTTTTCACCTGATTTCACACGATGATAAGGAGAAGAACTATAAAGTGTTACGTATTCTGGGGACAATCATTGGATTTAACAATACATTAGAAATGCCTTGCTTTTGATATGGTTTGGCTCTGTGTCCCCACCCAAATCTCATCTCGAATTGTAATCCCTATGTGTAGGGGACAGGGAACTGGTGGGAGGTGATTGGATCATGGAGGCAGTTTCCCCCATGCTGTTATCATGGTAATGAGGGAGTTCTCACCAGATCTGATGATTTTAAAAGTGGTGGTTTCCCCTGTGCACCCTCTCTTGCCTGCAGCAATGTAACACGTGCTTTGCTTTCCCTTCACCTTCCGCCATGATTGTAAGTTTCCTGGGGTCTCCTCAGCCACGTGGAACTGTGATTCAATTAAACCTCTTTTGTTTATAAATTACCCAGTCTCAGGTAGTATATTTATGGCTGCATAAGAATGGACTAATACAGCTTCTAAGTATTCCCTAATCCAAAGGGAATACTTCCAAGACCCCTGGAGGATGTCTGAAACCATAGATAGTATCAAATCCTATACATACTATGTTTTCTTCCTACACATACATACTTACAATAAAATTTAGCTTATACGTTAGCTGTAGTAAGAGATTAACAACAGCAACAATAAAATAGAACAATTATAACAACATACTATAATAAAAGTTATGTCAATGTGGTCTCTCTCAAAATATCTTAATGTATAGTACTCCTCCATCTTCTTTTCATAATGATGTGAGATGATACAATGCCTATGTGATTAGATGAAATGAGGTAAATGACACAGGCATTATAACACAACATCTGGCTACTATTGACTTTCTGATGGCCAGAAAAAGGATCATCTGCTTGGGGTGATCTTGGATCATCAAGCTATGACGATGTCCACGGTTGGAGTTCAGAAGCATAAAATGTTATACAGTGTGGATACGCTGGGCAGAGAGAGAATTCACATGCCAGACAGGACAGAATAAGATGACAAGAGATTTTGTCACACTACTCAGAATGTCAGACAATTTTAAACTTATGAATTATTTCTGAAATTTTCTATTTAATATTTTCAGACTGCAACTGAAACTGGAAAGCAAAACTGCAGATGGGGGGAAGTAGGGAAGACCACTGTAAATGCTGGAGAAGAAAATAAACTCTCTGGTTAGCAGATTGCATGTCAACCTATCCAGGTCAAGTCACATCAGAACATAATGAATCAATTATTTGTATACATTGTGCTAGGCGCTGTCTGAAATGCCAACCAAATGGAAGTTTGAAACTGAATTTCCATACCTTCTTTCATTCTTTATTTAATGTCACAAGTCATTCATAAAATTAACCTGGAACTCAAAAGAAGAGGGTAAAATGTTACATTTGAAAAGAGGGTTGGTTAAACCTTTCAAAATGAATTATTGGGTTCTGCCAGTTACCTTCCTATATATATTCTAGATGAATAGAGTGAGTTCCCCTTTCTTATTTTTTCTTTTTTTATTTTTTAGTTGACAAGTAAAAATTGCATATATTTATGGCATACAACATAATGTTTTAATATATGTAGGCATTGTCAAATGGCTAAACAAAGCTATTTAACATATGAATTATTCCAGACACATTATTTTTGTGGTGAGAGTACTTAAAATCTATTCTCAGCCATTTTCAAATACACAATAAGGTATAATTAACTGTAGACAGCATGATGTACAGGAGATCTCTTGGACTTATTTCTGCTGTCTAACTAATATTTTATGTCATTTGGCCAACATCTCCCCAATCCTGTCACCCCAAGCCTCTGGTAACCATTTCTTCACTCTGTTTCTGTGAGTTCAACCTTTTTACATTCCACATATAAGTGAGATTCTGCAGTATTTGTCTTTCTGTGACTGTCTTATTTCAATTAATGTGATATCCTCCAGATTCATCCATGTTGTCACAAATGACAAGATTTTTCCTTCTTTTTTAAGGCTAAGTAGTATTTCATTTTCCTCATCTATTCTACTGGTGAACACTTAGGTTAATCTTACGTCATAGCTATTGTGAAGAAATGCTTCAATGTACATGGAAGAGCTCCTTTTAATTACTGAAAAATTATTCCTTTATATGAGTCTTTCATTGAACTTGTTACATTCTGGAATGAGAATATTGAATGAAATAACAGTACATCATGAGTCAGATGATGGGACAGAAATGTTAATCATGATATGAGATGATCCCCTCATATCAAGGTAGCCTCTTGGTAGCATAAGTGGAAGACAGAACTCGCAAGAGTAGCTTAGCTTTCCTCCCCTGCAGGTTCACCACTTCTTTAAAAATTCTGCTACTTTCATAACCCTGCTCATTCCCTTCATCCAGCCATTTGGGTATGTGAATGTGTCCTTAGTGTTAACTGTCTTACAGAGAAGTATTTTCCAAGAAAGTAACCTCTCCCTCTACTGATATTCTTTCTATGTCTCTCTCATTGGAATTTTATCAAAATAAATTTTATCATGCAGTGTAATTATTTGAAAATATGTCCCCCACTACTAAATAATAAGCATCTTGAAGCCAGAATACACTACAAAAGCATCACAGGTATATTGTAACACTAGAGTTCTTCATCTCTGTTCTGATTGTTTAACAGGTGAATGAAGGGTCACATTGGTGGAAGTAAAGTGCTGATGTGAGATTCCTTCCCAGCATTTCTCAAAAATAAATATATATTTTAAAAATCCAAACTCTGAGAAAAAGTAGTTGAGAAATCAAGAAAAATCAGAAAAAAATTAAAATTGTCCTGCAAGAATTAAAGCATAATAGTCAACAGAGAGACGTTACTGATTCGGAGGAATCCACTCATGCCAAGGGTAAAGCAAGAGCAGAAACTGATGACATGCAGAGCCAAAGGCTAAGTCTTCATTTCCAAAATCAGTACAAGAGCATTAGGGGAGAAGCAGTTACTGCCTAATCAGTCAGTCTTGCTTGTGGCTATTTTCATGTGTGTGTTCATGGCCCCGTCTGCTGCTAACAGCGAGTCATTCTTACAAGTAAAATGAATATTATTACTAAGCTTATGCGCCTAGGATATTTTACGCAAATATGAGTGGTGTTGTAAGAAATAATTAGTTTTAGAAGCTAATAAGTATATAAATTGCATCTGGAAGTGCGAATCTGTGTAGTGCAGTTTACCTGCCTGGGAGATCTGAATGTTTGATTATTTAAATACCACCTAATAATGTTCACAGTGAGTTTCTCAGTGCTTGGTTATTTGCTATCATCTACTAAATGCTGTATATAATATAACCCTGATATTAATACTTATTAAATAAACTCTAGATATCTATAATAATAAGTAAAGAGTATAATATTGAAAATATTTTAAGAATAATTGACAATTTAGAAATTTCCCAGGAATTCTGATTTCTCATACCCACATTTTGAAGACCTAGGAAACCATAGCATGAACGTATGTTTCTGCATATCTGTGTTGTCTAATTAGATCTAATGAGTGTAGATGGAGAGGGGACTAAATAAGGAAATGGTTGATTGAGAAAAGTTATTATACAACAGCACATTCTGGGCAGTTTGATTTGTGACTATCGGATGAGTGAAAAATAATGCGTACTATAAAGAATCTCAACAGTTAATTTTATAATGATGTCCTCCAACTTCCATCCTCTTTTCTCTCTCTCTCTCTCTCTCTCTCTCTCTCTCTGTCTTTCTCATTCTCATTCAGCAGTGACTTTGAAAAACCACATTGTAAAATTAGAGGATCTGATGAAAATCACTAGAACTTTGAAATGCAATGGTGATGATGGCTTGGGCCTATCTCTGCCCACTAGTTCCACCTTGAGAACTGTCCTCATTGCCTCTTTTTGGCTTCAATTTAGCTTTCATTAGAAGGGAAAAGTATGACACTCATAGTATTGGGGAAAAGAAGTTATTCAAATGAGATGGGGCACAAGCGGGACAAGGGATAACCATCACCAGAGACCACAGAACACACATTTGATGATCTTTAAGAAACTATGTTAGAAAGACCCAATTATGCTATATTACAACAATTCTTTCAATAAATACTTATTTTGTACATTCACTTATTAATTTTGTTTGTTTATTTTTGAGA